ACCTTTCTATTATTTTTCCCACAACAAAAAGCCTGTGTGGTGGGTTGGGTTGAGTCAGAGTTAACAGGCCCAGGTTCACCCAGCTGACTTTCATGTCTAAGGTGGTACTAGAAATCACAGTTTCCTGCTTTCTAGCCTGGTGCCTTCACCAGTAGACTAAACTGCATGTTTATATTGAGAATCTCAGATTCAAGGGGGTGTGGGGGATAGTACTTCCAAAAAAAAAAGTATACGGAAACTCGGGCGTACTGAGAAAGGAAGAACTGAACTTCAGTTCTGCTACTAAGTAGACATTAGTCATATCAGTCAAATGGGAGAATGCCTATTAATCAAAAGCAATGCTAAGATGGGCTTCATCGAGAAGAATTCTGCCAGGAAAGATCTATTCCAACACAATCAAGATATCCTTCGCCATCGCCAGAAAGGTATGACCTCTGTTGTGAAGAGAAATGAAGCTCGAGTCTGAAAAGGATTTTTGAGAAATTTTCCAGTGAAGGGAAATTTCTTTTTTTTTTAAAAAAAATAATCTTTATTTACATTTATCATTAAAAAAGAAGACAACACACCAGATAAATGACAAACAGAACAACAAAACAAATAACATACATGCCTATAAGTAGTATCTTAATAACTTAATATTCGGTACAATATATCTATGTTACATTCTGGGGGAGGCAGAACAACCTAATTTACATTTGTAAATCAATTAGGTCTATCCGGCCTCACTTTACTTGTATAATATAAATTTTTCAATAAATACAACTCCTAATCTGGTTTGGGTTATAGTTTTCTCTTTGATAGCCAAATATATAGTTTTTTCTCAAGATAAACATGTTTGTGTTTGGTCTCTATCTTTCAGTTTTTTAGTCAATTTATCTGTTTCCGCACAATCCAAAATCTTCTTTATAATTGCTTCTTCTGATAGGATATTTTTATCTTTCCAGAATTGAGCATATGTTAATCTCGCTGGTGTAATAATATGTAATGCAAGGTACCATGAATCTTTTTAAATATTTTCCGGTTTGGAGCCAAGCAAACATGTCTCTGGTCGCCATTCAATCTCTTGGTTTAAGATCTCGTTAAGCCACATTTTTATTTTTCCCCAAAATTTTACTGCTTCTGGGCACGTCCACCATTGATGATAGTAAGTGCCACGCTCAAACCCACACTTCCAGCATTCAGCGGACTGTCCAGTAAACATTTTGGCCAATCTATCGGGGGAGAGATGCCATCTATATAGCATCTTGTAAATATTTTCTTTATATGCCGTAGAAACTATTAGCTTCATATTCCCCCACCAAATCTCTTGCCATTTTTCCAGATGAATTGAGTAACCAATTTTTTTTCCCCCAGACAATCATTGTATCCTTTATTATCTCGTCGCCAATCTCTAACCTCATCAACAGTTTATAGCTTTTAGAAATCATGCCTTTTTCCTGGCCCATCAAGATTTTGTCTAAATCCTTCAAGTCAACATTTATACCTTTCCTATCTCTGTCTTTTTTATATTTTGATTGGATCTGTAGATAGGTCCTCCAATCCAATTGTAGTCCCTGGGAATTCAACTCCTGTTTTGGCTTTAGCTCTCCTCGTGCATTCAGCAAATCTTTGTACGTTAATTTTTTCACAGGTTATATAATGTTGGATATGTCAATTTCAAGCACATAATCAAGAAAATCCCAGGATCCCTTGAGAATGCCAGATGAGATGATAATTAGAAAGAGTGTGACAGCATCTTTTAAGACTAATACATTTTATAAGCTTTCAAGAGCTGGACTGGAAAGTGTATGAGGTATAAAAAATCCATTTTGTCCAACAAGATGCTTCATTGCTGTGTTGCAGCTCTGTTCCAATTCTCCTCTATAATCTAGCACTTCCATTCCAGTTCTCCCCTTCTATCACCAAGCCTCATGCCTGCTCTCGATGATGAAACAGCCTGCTAAACTATGTAGCATCATTTCAATCCCCTCTTTTTTTAAATTTTCCTTCTATTTCAATAGAGGAAATAGAAGTAAAAACATAGCCCTAACTTCTATAGGTTTAACTGTAATTCTGATGTAAACCTGTACACTAAATTTTTACAATGCCTTAGTGTGAACCATGTTTTCATGCTTACGTTTTATTTTGGTATGGTTTTGCTCCTTGGTTGAATAAAATGGGTCCCCTGCCATAGCATTGGGACTTTCCTCAAATGCATCCAATTGGAGCACAATCACACTGAAACAATCACACTGAAACAACTGGGGGGGGAGTTGTATCATGACTTCTCATCTCATCACCAGTGTATACCTGAGGGCAGCCTCAAATCATCCTTAGCTGCTCCAGAGTTAAAGGACTTTTTCCTTCTTGCTTCTGCAAACACAATTAGCAATAGCAATACCATATTTTCCCGAAAATAAGACCCTGTCTTATATTTTTGGAAATCCGAAATAAGTGCTTGGCCTTATTTTCAAGGCGGTCTTATTATTTTGGGGTGCATGGAGCAAGACGGGGCTCCTCTTGCCATCTTATCTGATTTCCAGCTCTGTCTCTCTAACCCTAATGAGAGGAAATGGCAGAGACCAGCTGTGCATGAGGTTAAATATTTTCAGGGAGGTCTTATTTTCAGGGAGGGCTTATGGGGGAGGGCTTATTTTAGTGCATGCACTCAAATGCCTGATTGGGCTTATTATCCAGAGAGGTCTTATTTTCGGGGAAACAGTGTAGCACTTAGACTTATATACCGCTTCACAGTATTTTACAGGCCTCTCTAAGCCGTTTACAGAGTCAGCATATTGCCCCCAACAATTTAGGACCTCATTTTACCCACCTCAGAAGGATGGAAGGCTGAGTCAACCTTGAGTCTGGTGGGATTTGAACTGCCAAATTGCAATCAGCCAGGAGTCAGCAGAAGTAGCCTACAGTACTGTATTCTAACCACTGCACCACCAGGGCTCAGATATTTTGCCCTATGCAGCTGGCCATACAGTCAAGTGATTCTCTGAAGTCCTGATAAAAGAGAATGCCAACACTGATGATGTTACCTAGTTTGGTAATGAAAGATCTGCAAGAAAACAGCCAAGCTCAGAGAGCACCAAGGACCTCACTGTCTCTAAACTCCACAGCCCATCAGTTATTGGGATGTCTTTTCCTCTTCAGTTCCTATGCACCATCCTCAGGACCAGTAGTTGGGGATCAAGAGAAGCTAAATCATTCAAAACAGCTTCTGTCCCTTTATCCATCAGGTTTCCAAAGTGATCTCCTGCTTGCATGGGTTTGCCCACTCAATACAAGTACATTCTTTCTTTCCTCTTCTCCTTGCTTGCAGAAATACATGTTCAGCATATGCCTTAAAGATACAGTTTTCCCACACGCTTTGGTGCTTCAGAACAGATTGCATAAAAATGTCAATACAGCTCCGGTGTTGAACTCTTTAAAGCAGATTTGTCTTTTCCCAAGACAACATGGCAAATGCATGATCCCAGCCAAAGATATGGCTACTTCAAAAATTTGCCAAGAGTGTCTATATTTGTGCTCCCACAAATTCAAAAGCACTTTTTCCTAAAACATTGCATAACCCTGCTATTTGGTATTTCCATTCTCTACACGAGTTCTACATTTTTAATTGTATTATTAATAATCAGTGCAATTAATTTTAAGCAAATCATTTTTTTTTATCCATAACAGATTATTTTTCCTCGGATAAAACTGAAAATGACTAAATGATACCCCAGGGCTGAGTAGCAATCTATTAGTTAAAAAAAAAAAATGTAAGCTGATATTTTCAGTTCTTGACTCTAATGGAGTAGATTAGAAGCACCGCCTAATTGGATGACCTATGAGCAAACTTTTAGAAGACATGTTGCTTGGCAAACCGACATCCTATTTAAGAATTTACAACAATTTATAGTCCTTTCAGAATACATTTATGGGAGCATTGAATATTTTGAAGCTGGTTGATTGGAATAAATTCAGGAGCCACAGAAAACTCTTCTGAACTACAAAAGAAACAATATTTCTTCGGTAAACTGGGTCTCTAAAGCATTGGGTTAGAAAGACTATATTTGTTTGTTTGTTGTATCAAATTTATAGGTAAAGGTAAAGGTTCCCCTCTCACATATGTGCTAGTCGTTCCTGACTCTAGGGGGCGGTGCTCATCTCCATTTCAAAGCCAAAGAGCCAGCGCTGTCCGAAGACGTCTCCGTAGTCATGTGGCCGGCATGACTAAATGCCAAAGGCACACGGAACGCTGTTACCTTCCCACCAAAGGTAGTCCCTATTTTTCTACATGCATTTTTTACATGCTTTTGAACTGCTAGGTTGGCAGAAGCTGGGACAAGTAATGGGAGCTCACCCTGTTATGCAGCACTAGGGATTCGAACCGCTGAACTGCCAACCTTTCAATCGACAAGCTCAGCATCTTAGCCACTGAGCCATCGCATCCCTGATCAAATTTATAGAACTGCCCAATTCAACTGACTCTGGGCAGCTTACAAAAAGGAACCTGATCAATTTAAAATACCCCATAAGATGACATATCCTGATAAAACTAATACAAGCCCTCAAAGAACAGGGTCTGATGATACAAGACAACTAGAAATAGTCATTCTTCATCTCAGTCTGGGGAAAGAGACAGATCTTCTAGGCTTGCATAAAAGATCAGAGCAACATAACCACTGTGGGCATAGTATTCTAGAGGACAGCAACCATGACGAAGAAGGCATGCTTCTTGGGACCCATTAGAACATAGAATAACAGAGTTGGAAGGGTTTTTGGAGGTCACCTAGTCCAACCCCTTGCTTGAGTAGGAAACCCTATACCTGTGATGGCGAACCTATGGCATGCATGCCACAGGTGGCATGCATAGCCATATTGTGGGCACACCAGCTCAGCTCTGGGGCACATGTGCCCGCCGGCCAGCTGATTTTCAGCCTTCTGGACACACCAGAAGTAGGGAAACAGGCTGTTTCCTGCCTTCGGAGGGCCTTGGGTGGGGGGAAAGGCCCGTTTTTCTTTCTTACCTGGCTCCAGATCCTCTCTATTTATCTGGGAAGGGTGAAAACAACCTTTCCCACTCCCTCGGAGGCTCTCCAAAGGCCTGAAATGGCCCATTTCCCAACTCCCGGTGGGACAGGAAGTGATGTTTTTTGCTGTGCCCAACCTCCAGAGACTCCTAGAGGGGTTCCTAGAGATCCCTAGAGAGGCTCTGGAGGCTGGGGACTGCAAAAAAGTCACTTCCTGTCTCACTGGCAGTTGGGAAATGGGCCGTTTCAGGCCTTTGGAGAGCCTCCGAGGGAGTGGGAAAGGCTGTTTTTGCCCTTCCCAGATAAATAGAGAGGATCAGGAGCCAGGTAAGAAAGAAAAACAGGCCTACCAGGCCATTGCGTGCCAGGAGCCGGGGGGGGAAGGAGGGTTACGCATGCATGCACAGGGCAGGGCGCATAGAATTATGGGTGTGGGCACATGCGCGCGCGACCCTCCCCCGCCCCCCTCTCCTGGCACGCAATGGCAAAAAGTTAGCCATCACTGCCCTATACCATTTCAGACAAACGGATGTCCAGTCCCTTTCTGAAAGCTTCCAGTGATGGAGCACCCACAACTTCTGAAGGAAAGCCATTAAAGGACATTGTTTCAAGAATGGGACCTGGAGCATGTCCAGGGTAAGCAGAAAAAAAATAGGAGAATCATCATCCTTTAGGCAACTGAATCCTATACCTTGGAGGGTTTTATAAGTCACGAGCAGCATCTTGAATTGCAGCCAGTTTGGTCTAGTGGTCAAAGTGCTGGCTTAGGAATTAGGAGACCACGAGTTGTAGTCCCACCTTAGACATGAAAGCTGGCTGAGTGGTGTTGGACCAATCACTCTCTCTCAGCCCAACCCACCTCACAGGGTTGTTATTGTAGGGAAAATAGGAGAAGGAAGGAATATTATGCATGTTCACCATCTTAAGTTATTTATAAAAAAAAAAAATAGGTGAGATAAAAATCTAATAAACCATGGTAGCCCAGTGGTTAGAATGCAGTATTGCAGGCTAGCTCATTGCTCACTCCAAGAGTTTGATTCTGAGTGGCTCAAGATTGACTCAGCTCAGATGATTGTGAGAAGGAAATTCTAGTCCAGGTAAGAGTACAAATGATGCTAAAAGCCACCAGATTGGTATCAATTCTGTCTGGGAAAGAACAACCCCATCCAGAAGTAAAAATAAAAAATTCCTGACACTGGAAGACCTGTAAACCCATAGCCACTCTGCATTGTCAAGCTTGAATTTAAGCCTATACCTTCCTGTCCAGATCTTCAATCAGAATAGAGCTGGAAGGGACCTTGGAGGTCTTCTAGTCAAACTCATTGCTCAAGCAGGAGATCCTATACCAGGGGTGTGAAACTCAAGGCCCACAGGCCAGATACGGCCCACAGGGTGATTAAATCTGGCCCGCGGGACCAGCCTGGAAGTAGCAAAAGACTGGCCCGTGGTGTCTCTGCCAGCCAAAAGAGGTGTGGGGGAAGCCCCTCGCATCCCAATTTGGCCAGCAAGGTGGTGCTGCAGGAGGCCATACAGGCCAAAAACGGGGCAGGGGGTCCTACATGCCCCCCACGTGCCTCATTTTGGCCAGCAGAGTGCTGCAGGAGGCATCCGTCCCATCTACCCCTCCCCCTGCCAGCCTGCAGAGGAGAACTACAATGCTCTTCCGGCCCTCGAAGAAATCCAGTTTGACACTCCTGCCCTATACCATTTCAGATAAGTGGCTGTCCAATCTCTTCTTAAAAATCTCCAGTGATGAAGCATCTACAACTTCTGAAGTCAAGCTGATCTTCCCAGTTTCCACAGACTGCAATCTTCACAGTCCCCAGGCACTGAGACATTGATAAAATTGCTTTCAAGCTTTCCCTTATTAAAAACAATTGCCACTGCATTTCATTTTGTGTCTTTCCAGTTTCAATAAGAAATGAAAAAGGAAAGGCAATTTTAAATGTAACTTGTAAATATAGATGCAACGTGTGTTTTTGATTCAGTGGGAAAATGTGACTATAATAAATGGTACTCCTTAAATATTAAAGAACTGAACCAAGTTCAAGCAGGATTGTAGAAACCTCTTCCTTAACAAATGCAATTTGATCTATTACATATACATCCCACTTACTGTAGATTTGTTGCTTCGCTACTTATTGAGGGATGAAGAACTCTCTGAAACTCTTTTCGCTGAAGGTCAGCAAGATTTGTTTGGCTGTTAAATCAACAGAGATGTAAAGTCGAAGAGAGTCATTTTAAATAATATAAGGCATCATCTCTTTCCTGTCATCAAAGAAAATGGATGCTCTTCAAAGTGTTATTATCTCTTTTAGAACAGGTAAAGTAACAACCTCTTTGGCATAATAATGAAAGCTTTAGATTTGGTGTCTATAGGATAAAAATAGATGCGTTTAAGACAATGGATTTTCACAGGCTTCACTGTATTAAATGTGGGCTGGCTGGGTGAGGCCCTGATTTCTAATGACCAGAAGGCAGGCTTTGAATCTATTATATCTACTTTTGAAAAATTCATGTGAGGTTGTGAATTGACTAGAAGACATTTAAAGCAAACTTGGTAAAAAAAAACCTAATGCACAGCTGTCAAACTCACTGCATCACATTGCTGTCATGTGACATTTCGTGACTTTTTTCCCATTTGCGGAGGTGGGGTGGGTGTGGCCTGTGCGTCATGCATCTGGCCCGCGGGCTGTCAGTTTGACACTCCTGACCTAGTGGGTTTTACCACACAAAAAGTACTGTAGATCTAATTAGACTACTCTTGCAGATGATGGGGGCCATATGAAAATCCAAAATCCTACTTTCAACATTGAATCAAAACTCTCTTCCATGTGGATTAAAAAAATAGTTAGGCTTTAATTATAAGTGCATTTTAACAGCATTGGTCTGTATCTGAATAGGAAGACATCTCAGTTCAGGCAAATACAAGCTCCTTTTCAATCCCTAAACAGGTCAGGTGCAAAGTAATAAATGACCACCTGTGTCAGGATAATCGGAGTTTTAAAAGACTCTGTAGGAAACAATGTCTCTTTTGATGTGCAAAAATATAAAGTTTAACCATGCGAGGCACAAATATATAATGCACCAATGAGAAATGGACACACTATGGTATGCATCTTTATGAGTAATGGAACCACAGTACAGAAAATTAGCAACACATGGACAGCAAAAAGCAATGGCATATTGTTTTAAAATTCTGGAATTGGGAGAACTGCAGTGCAGGCATGTCTCTTGCATTGTGACAACTTTCCTTCCTTACAGCACTTTAATAAATAGCAATAACAATAGCATTTAGATTTACATGCTGCTCCATAGTACTTTGCAGCACTCTGAATAGTTTACAGTGTCAGCATTATTTGCATATTGCCCTCAACAATTTAGGCTCTCATTTTACCAGCCTCGGAAGGATGGAAAGTTGAGTCAACCTTGAGCCAGTCAGGATCGAACTGCTGGCAGTGGGCAGAGTTAGTTTGCAATGCTGCATTCTAACAACTGTGCCACCACAGCTCCTTAAGGTCAGTTCAAACAAAGGAGAGGAAATCATAGAAACAATGGCAGAGGATGTCATTTTAATATAATGTTTATGCTTATGGCTAGGTACATACATGTGCATTTCTACCACATAAAAAGAATCTTAGTCATTGTCCTCTACAGACTCATGGGCACTGAGAAAACATTTCAAATAAATAAACTGGATCTATAACAACTGTTGTGTATGTAGTTACCGGGGAGCTACTTTTTACATATATAGCCTTCATATATGCAGCCAGGTTGCCTCAGTGGAGGGAGAAAAGAGGAGGCCAAGGATGGAAGGGAAAGTATACAGCAAAATATTAATGGTGAGAACCGGCAGCAGCAGAAGAGATTTGAAGGCAGGTGGAGATCAACTATTACTCAGTAAGGATTAAAGAAAAGAAGAGTATGAAAAGAGAAGTGAAGTTAGAAACCTACACGACAAAGAGGGACAGGAACATTGCTTCTAAAAGCAGTGTGTGACAGATAGGGTCCCAACAATCAGGGATGGGTTCAAAAATTTTAGCAAGCGGTTATCTGCCTGGTTGCTGGGTGGGCATGGCCATGGTGGGTGTGGCCTAATTAACCTCCTGCACACAGCGGGGGGGGGGACATTTTTGCCCTCCCTGGGCTCCAGAGGCTTTCCTCAAGACTCCGGGAGGGCAAAAATGGCCTCCCCAGGCTCTGGAGGCCCCCTGGAGGCTGGAAATGGGCCCGTTTCTGGCCTTCCTGATCTTCCAGAATGCCTGTTTTTCACCCTCCCTGAGCCTCCATGAGTGTCCTGCACTTACCTGCATCCAAAATGGGCTGCGTGGGGACTCCTGGAGGGGGCAGGCTCTCTTGAGCTCTTTTGCCAACTCTTTCTCATGGTGCCTCACCAACCTCTACTTGCCCCTCCCCTGCCAGCCACTCCTCGCTTGCCCACCCGGGCTTCTTAGGGCCCAACAGGAAGCAGTTGTTGGAGCTAAGCAGCCACCACGAGAAAGAGTTGGCAAAAGAGCGCAGTTCAAATTGGATCTGACCGAGAATGAGGCTCATCAGAAGCACCTCACTGAGGACTAGAAGCATAGGCTTTCCAAGCAGAGGGAAGACGTGCAGCAGTGCAAGGCCAGGTATCGGCACCTGGAGGCTCAATGGGTTGAGATGGTCAGCCAGTTCCAGGCCATGATGCTGTCCCACTGGAACGAGGCCCTCCGGCTCTTCACCATCAGTGGCACTTCCCTCCAGCCTTCGCCCAAAGCCCCACACCAGGAGACTGAAGCAGACCCTGAGTCAGAATTTCTGCCCCTGTCCGACCCACAAAAAAAGACCCCGAAGGGGGAGACTCTCTGCAGTAACACAAATGTTCATTGCATGTATCCGGCCCAGAGGCCATAGTTTGATTTAGTGCAGTATAAAAGATGCAAATAATTTTTCTGCGGGCCACCAAAATTTTCTCACGGACCACCAGTGGTCCACGGAGCACCAGTTGTTGACCGCTGTTCCAGAATATGATTGAATCGGATCCGTTAGCTGAAGCTTTAATTCTGACAATGTAGAGGCCATACCTGGGCCTTCTAACTGCCTCCAAGATATAGACACTT